TATATATATAACAAAATATGTGTGTGTGTGTTTGTGTTTATGTGTGTGTGTGTGTGTGTGTAATGGTCAGTGTTGGGTAGGTTACTCTAAAAAAGTAATTCATTACTAGCTACTAGTTACTGTGCAATTAGATTACTATACTAATTACTCTAAAAAGTATTGCAATTATTACAGTTTCAATTTTGACGCTAAATCCGCTATTGTTTTCTATAGAAATGATTTATAGTTTATACAGTGTTTAACATAATGACATCAAAAGTAACTGTAATTAAATTACAGAAAAATGAAAAGTAATCCTTTACTTTTTTAAGGGAAAGTAATTAAAATGATCATTAATTAATGGTCATTAATTCCTTAGTATTCATTACACCCAACATTGGTAATGGCTGCTGAAAACTCACATTTACCAACAAAGGAATAGGCCTAAATTAAATTTTCAAACATATTCAAAAAGAAAACTGTTCTTTTACATTGTAATAATATTTCACAGTATTGCTGTTTTTACTGTATTTCTGATCGAATAAATGCAGCCTTGGGGAACATAAAAGAGTCTTCTTTCAAAAACATACAGTTTTACATAGATCTTAAATTAGCATTTATTTCCTTTTATGTAAAAAGGATATAATTGTGAAAAATGTCAAGAAAGAAGAGCATGTTTAATTTGTTTTACCTCTTTATAAGAAGACATGATCCTTTCAATGGCATCAGCCCCTGAGGCCAATAGATTGCGAGCTGTTGTAAAGGCCTCTGTTCTTTCACTCACCAACACTTGCGTCTGACCGTCAGCCAGCTCTTTAAGAAACAAATGAATATGAAACATGACATCTTTAAGCAAATACTACTCTTATATGACCTATAATTCTGAAATAGAAGCACTGGAACATCATTAAAATGAAGCTCAACAGAAATTGCAATGAGATTGTATATATAGTACAAACTACACTTCCACATACTGTTGTCAGCAAAGCCAGTGGCAGTGATAATGGGCACTGCCACCATAACAAGGCCACTTCCACTCCAGACGTACTTCATGAGGAACTGTTCAATCATGATGTACCACAGACGTTTTGATAGAATGAGGTTCATCTGCTCCGCCAGGGCACTATAACACTTCTGCAGCTGCCTCATCTCCACCTGCCACATGAGAACACATTAAACATACCAACGATTGAGAGACTTCAAAAAGTAAATGGCTAGTTATGGAAATCAGAAATTAATCAGATTAAACAGAATTGCAAAGTTTGCTTACAGCAAATTGTATGGGTCAAACTTATAGATTTTTCTCTGATGCCAAAAAATCATTAGGATATTAAGTAAAGATCATGTATCTCAGCCAAATATTGTCCTATCCTAACAAACCATACATCAAAAAACGCTTCTCCATTCAGCTTTCAGATGATGTATAAATCTCAATTTCAGAAAAATTGACCATTACCACTGGCTTTTGTGGTCCAGGGTCACTTATAAACAGTGTTGGGGAAAGTTACTTTTAAAAGTTACAATATTGCGTTACTCCATAAAAAAGTAACTAATTACGATGAATTAATGCATATTCATATTTATTTTAGAACTACAGTAACATCTTCTGATTTCTCTCAACATGGGGACAGGAGAGCTGTCAGTCAATAAATTGGAAAAAAAAAGTAACTTGCGTTACTTATTTGAAAAAGTAACTCAGATATTCTCTTGTAAATTAAAAAGTAATGCGTTACTTTACTAGTTACTTGAAAAAAGTAATCTGATTACGTAACTTGCGTTACTTGTAATATATTACCCCCAACACTGCTTATAAATGATGTACTTCTTCACCATATGTCCCCATAAAATGTGACTTCCTTTGCATTTTTGTAACATTTTTATATATGTAGGCCACCGTGTCTGACACGTTTAAAAGTCTTCTGTCATTTAATAAGCAATCACATTTGCACTATATGATTGTTGCATTTCCTCGCCTTATGCCCCCCAGAAAGCAATTACTAAAGTTATATTGATTTTTATGCATGCACATGTGCATTATGCGTTTCCTCACCGTATGTCCCCTATAGAAGGCGATCTCCTCTGCATTGGCTATGATTCTGGAGTGCACATAACGCAAGTAGCCCTTCCTGTGCGCCTCCTCCGCCACCAGCTTACCGAACCTCGGCGAGCAAGCGCGCAGGACCTTCGCCGTGGCGAACACCACCAGACCCGCTAAGAGAGTGGGTCCGGTTGCGTTCGCACCCCGAGATCTCGCAGTCTGTATTAAGGTATATGAAGTCAGTATCACGTCCAGGATGGGTTTGGTGAGGTTTGAGTACAGATGCGCAATGGACTGCGAGAACATCATCACATCCTCGGTTAGAGACTGGTCCGGGTTCGCCAGCCTCCCGTCCATGTTGCTGACCTTATAATAGGTCTGATCGGTGAAATACGTTTTATATGCATGATCCACCAAACGCGTGCGGAACGCGAGCGCGAGCTTGCACTCCAGATAGCGGATCGCGCTGTTGACGAATGTGGCCGGGATGGCGATCAGAAGCCATTTCATCAGTTTGATCATGAAGCTCCGCGGCTGCTTCTCTACCATCGTTTTCACTATTTTACCATCCAAACCTGCCACATAAATAGACAGAAACGTCCGTGAAACCAGAGCTAGTGAATGTAAACATAGTAAACCCAGTTCTTTAGTTACAAACCTTGGGAACACGATTTGAACCAGTTCAAGAACCTGCTTGAAGAATTCCGCATTGACGCCGGGTGATTTACTAAGGCTAGAGGCAGTCTCTGGTGTGGCTTTAGGAGCAGATATCAATCCATTCTCATGTCCCGGTGCAGACGCGTTGTTCTTGGTTGTTTTCCGTTGATTTATTTGTTTGCAGATGATGGAGTAAAGCGTCTTCGCTCCGTATGCGGCGGCCGCCAGGAACACCGCTCTTTTCGCCGCAGTGCTCTGATTCCATCTCACTTTTGATGCTGCATGGAGGATGTTGCTCATTTTTTAATTCTGCTTTTACACAAATAAGTCGTTTGCAATCTTCAGTTTGTTCCAAATTACATCCATAGGGTCACTCAATGTCTTAAACAGAGAATATATACTTATAATTCATGGTGCCGTAAGGTTGAAGCTGCACCGCTATGCAAGACGCTTCCGTCATTTGGGCTTCTCTCGCTGGCTACGCCCCCACTCCACGCTGATTGGTTGCCGCACTTGACGTATTTAAATATAACAGAATGGTCTGATTACATTATTTAAAATTGTAGTTAAGAACTGAAGCTTTAAAAGATCTAAGAAATAAAAAAAAGCTAAAAGGATGTATAGAAGTTTTGAATCCTTTTCTTATGAAAATTGCTTGCAAGTTATCCCCTGTCGTAGTTTTTTCTTTCTTTCCTTCTTTTTTTCTGTTTGTTCCTTTGATGCTGTTATGAATGTAATTGATAATATGTATGTTGTATTAATGTTCTTGTTATGTAATAACGAATGTCAAAATGAATCAATTGAGTCAATGTCAAAATGAATATTTGGTTTTTAAATAAAAATTACCTTTGAAATAAAATATATTATTTTAATATATAACATATTATATTAATTATAGTTATATTAATATAATATTATAATTATATTCATATATAATATATAATTAAATATATTATATAAATGTATGATACAATATATTTTATTATCATTATATGATTTTCTTGTAATTGTCCAATTTTATGATGTGCTTTGTCAATAATATTATTTATAATCAAATCTAAAATCTGAAACAACTTTGCTGCGTCCATTTTATTTCCAGTGACATTTTTAATTAATAACATTTATTCAGATACTGAACTGAGATATTAAAATTAGAAAAAGAAAAAAAAAATGAATCGCTGATGTGGGTTGAGACCACTTATATATATATACTGTGTAGTATATAATATAATATATTATAGATCAGTGGTTGAGACCTGTTATCATACGGTCTATGGTTGTGACGTCACTCGCGCAGTTATCAGTTTATGATATTTACCTTATATCTTATCGGTTGCTGCTCTTAACATTGACTTAATAGCCTCATAACCTGAAAAATTACCATTTTTACAGAAATAAAAAAAACCGCCTAAACTGAGGGCGACATGAACTGGGTCGGAGGATCTAGGTTTGTGCTAACTTGCTAACTTTATTGAAACTCGCTAATAACTGACTTTATATCATTACTTGGCTGTAAAATGAACATTTCAAGGAGGTCAAAGCAGAGATGTCAAAATTACTTTATATAAATTCATTAAGTTTATATATGTATATACGTGTCTTAACTAAACAGGAGCAGGTTTATGAAAAGCAAAGAAGACACAACAAAACAAAGAGTAAGTACTTTTCACTCTCCAAACTAACTGTTTGAGACTTTACACTCTTTTTAGTAACTACATATTCTTAATACTACATTTCAACGATAACTTTATTGTAAATACAAATATTAACTACAGTTATATGAATTTAGTTGCATTAATTGATAGGGATTAGACTGGGGTCACAGGTGGTTAGGTTTAGTTTTTTAGTGTGTTATTTTATATATCTTAAACCCGTGCTCTTGTAATTCTCTGTTTCAACTCAAGGCGTTTTTTCAAAAGCAAAGGATGAAAAGAAAGTCAAATATTGTGGACTCACCCAAAGGATACAACCCTGACAATATGGATCTGCTGACATTATTCATAGTCAACCAGATTTCATCAAAGAAAGAGCAAACAGGTACAGTGATGGTGCACTTATAAATGAACACAACGCAAACATTCTTTTATGGCCTTTTAATAAAGCTCATTTGGAGAATCATATGTTATCATTTGTCTTCTAGACAAACCAAACACAAACCTTTTGACTGGTGTGAAAAGAACCAAAAGAGCTCTGAAAGAACCCTCAGAGTTACCAATGAGCCCTTGTTCTCCTTCAAATCTGAACCTAGTTACCAGTCAGCCACAGTACTGGTATGTTTCAAGAAGCTTTGTTATTCCTTCTAGGCTATATTTCTAAATGATTTAATCTACAGATATTGAGTATTTGTTTCAACAGTATTGATACGCCGGGTTATAAAGTCAGAAAACATCGTCTCTCTGAAGAATTCAAGTTCACGCCGGTAAGGATGACTAAAATGGTCACTACCACAAAATCATTCGCCAGTATTTTATTTAGTAACCACTGACATAATATAAATTTAGCATTAGTAACAATTGTAGAATTCATATGCATAAGTTTTTATCATACAGGGTTTAATAATGGTTTCTTCATCCTTAGCTGTCTCCTTTGCTTGAATCGAACCTGTCTGATGCCAGTGGCTCAGAAAATCAACCGCAACCACCCACAACATCTTCTGGCTCTTCAGATCCAATCCAACCCAAACCTGCACCACACATATCCTCTTCTCTGCCAACTCTGGAAAATCTGAACACTATGAAGAAAACTCCTCAGGTGTGATCATTTAAAATCATTTAAAAGTAACCCAAATTGTTACAGTTTATGACTCTTCAGTTTGTGTCATTCGCTCAACCAACAAAGCTGGCTAATCCATGGCCAGATGAAGCTCTCATGCAAGATGTGTCACACAACAGCAGAGCAGCTGGAAATCAGTTTGAGAGCACATTACCAAAGTGAGTACAATGATATTACTATATCCCGATGCAATATGTCAATAAAAGAGAATAGACATGGGAAAGTGCTTGTAACATGGAATTAACAGAATGTGTTGCAGCCCAGAGAGGGGAGAGCATTCAGAGGCCTCAGTTTTATATCCACTCAACCCTTTAAAGAGCACTGACGAACCAGAGGAGCCACTGTTCATAGATTTTAAGAACTTAGATTATAAAGGTAACAATATAGCTTCTAGCACATAAGATAGCACAATAAGATAATGCACTCACTGTATAAAAATAGAAATGAAAACCCGTAGAAAAAGTCACAACTTTCCAGAAACAATATTATATGCAATGATTGATTGACTTACTCAGTTAATAATCTTTCCAAGGCTCCATGAGCACTCAGTCCAGAGTACAGTCAGTACTTTAATACATTGTATATTACAGATGTTCTTTATAATTTTCATTTCTTTTAGTGCTCGACTCAATGAATTCTTGTGACAGATCACAAAACATGGACAGTAATGGCCACCTCTCGACACAGGTATACGCTTGTGCACTCAAGTCTCGAAACACACACACATGTTGTGTTTCCATGTTTTATGGGGACATTCCATAGGCGTAATGGTTTTTATACTGTACAAACTGTATGTGCTATTGCCCTACACCAACCCTACCCCTAAACCTACCCCTTACAGGAAACTTTGTGCATTTTTACTTTCTCAAAAAAACTAATTCTGTATGATTTATAAGCTTGTTTCCTCATGGGGACCTCAAAAATGTCCCCACAAGGTCAAAATTGACTAGTATTACTATCCTCGTGGGGACATTTGGTCCCCATAACGTGATAAATACCAGGTACACACACACACACACACACACACACAGTTTTGTTGGTAAAATTGCTGACTAACTTTAGTACATTTATTGTTTACAAATACTACCCCCTTGTGGTTAAAAGCAACATAGACAAAAGCTTCAGTAGATTTCTAATAAACTTGTTTTTAGATGCCAACTTGGCTTGTGTTTTGACCTTCTCATTTTTTTTTCTTCTTCAGGAATTTGTATGTACTGACAGCAACACATGTAAGTGTTCTGGTTATTGTTTTTTATAAAGTATCATTTTAATGGCGCTTACTCAGAACAAGACGTTTTATGATGTTTCAGCAGGGGCTGATGGTAGCAGTGTCTTTGTGCATGTTGGAAAATCTCCAAGAGGAGTTCATCTCAGCTCAGATGATGTAAGACATTAAAAACTGTTCTGTAATTTGAATAATCCTAATCACCGTAATAAAGAAAAAGGTTTCTGTAATCTCTCCTAGTATATAGTGCGTGAAACATGAACACATCTAAACATAATGAAAGTGTTTGGCTTTGTTCCTAAAAGCATTTCAGTGGATACACATTTCACTTCATTCACTAAAAGAATACAACATTTACTGTGTTGATAAACACATCTTTCGCTTTAAAATATGAGATATGATATTATCATGTGAAAGTCAGAAAAGTAAAAAAAAAAACAATAAAACCTATTTTATAGCTTTATGATCCCCTGAAATTTTCAAAATCAATGAAAAAAAAAAAAAAAGGTTATGCCATTCTGAAGATAGTGTCAAGGCAAAGCACTGTTGCTTATCGGTGGACAGTTTAACAGAAACACCTTCACAAGCTCCATCCTGCCAACAGGAGGCAAAATCTAACTGTGATGGTCAAAGTGAGGTAAAATCCAGAGTTTGAGACAGTCTGAAACAGTGAACTGTGGACAAAAACATGAGGAAAATCTGTTTGTTTTTCTCATCTGCAGACAGAAGCACAAAGACGTGATGGGACTCTCCCAATAACCTTGGAAGCAGGGACACAAACAGGAGCTTTATCTTACCGAGATGTCTCAGTTCAGTGCTCACTTATTCATCACAGCAACACCGTCCCTTTCCCCTCTGCTAATAAGAAAACCAGCGCCTTTACCACAAGGTGGCAGTATTCTAATTTTAATCAGTTGCTTAATCCAACAACACATACTTCTCCAAAAAATGGGCACAAAAGATCAGGAAACATGCCCTCAGGGGCATTAGCAACAAACCAGCAGGCACAGAGACATCCAAAATCACAAATGGGCTTCTCCTTCCACAAACTTCATAGTCAGAAGAGCATGAAAAGAGATCTGTCGTCAGCTTCGAAACATTCTTTCTGCAAAGCCTCAGGTAGAAATAACTAACCCATTGTGAAACCTTACAGAACACATTTTCCAAATGTTTCTGATCAACATGGATCTTCTTAAAGGAATAGTTCACCCAAAAATGAACATTGTCATTTTTTTCATTCCTTCATGTCTTCCCAAACTTGTATTTGCTGTTCTTTTCAGAATAAATAGGACAACAAAACTTGATAAAATTAGTGCGTACAACTGAAGTTTCAGAGTAGAAGTAATTTTCAGCATGGCACATTGTGTTTGGTTACAATATGTGCAAAACTGGTGTTACTAACGTCAAACCATGATGCAGTGCATCTTGATGCGGCAAGGAGGGGTAGATTTCAGCAAGTAGATTGGGTCCAGAAACATTTGACTATTTTTGAAATAAATTAATGATTTTTTCATCAAGGATGCATTAAACTGAACAAAAGTTACAGTAAAGACATTTATAATGTTACAATAAATGCTGTTCTTTTGAACTTTCTATTCATCAAAGAATCCCCAAAAAATGTATTGCTGTTTCCAAAAAGTATTAAGCTGCACTACATAACGTTAATAATAATAATAATAATAATACATGCTTCTTGAGCACCAAATTAGCATATTGGAATGATTTTTGAAGTATCATGTGACACTGACAACTGGAGTAATGGCTTTGCCATTACAGAAATAAAATACATTGTAAAGTATATTAAAATAGAAAACAGTTATGTAAAATTGCAATAATATTTCACAGTATTACTGTGATTTTTAATATTTTTGATATAATGAATGCAGCCTTGGCGAGCATTAGTTATTTCTTTCGAAAACATGAAAAAATCTTAATTTTCTTAGAATGTTTGCCTCATTTATGGGTGAACTATTCCCATTTCATTTAATGAAACTGGTTTGAAATCTGAAATAGTATGTTTATGTCCTTTGCTTACTCCAGAACAGAAAAAAGAGGAGAGCAGGAAGAAAATAGACAAGTGTGACTACCCTCGGTTGGGCGTCAGGCGTGCAGGAGAATTTGTGAAAGAGATGAAGAGATGAAGAACTTCACAGCAGAGAAAGGTGTGAACTGGGTTTCTACAGAAATGAAAAAAAAAAAACGTCAAGATGTTGCTGACGTTGAAGCATAGAAAGGATTAGACAGTAAGCAGAATTACATTTTGAAAAAAATGGATTTGTTACCTCAGTTCAGATATGATGAAAAACAATACTGTATGTTATATATCTTTATTATTATCTCCAAGTACATTTTCAAGTTTTCAAAGTTCATATATTTAGTTTCATAGAATATAAATCTAGCAAAACATTTACAGCAACAGTAATCAAATACTGTACAACACAACATTTGTCCTCACTAGTTTCCATCAACAGTATAAACGCTACTTTTTGTTTCACATACAATAACAAAAAATACATCCATACACTTAAAACAGATGTGTTCATTGGTAATAACACAAAAGGCTGTCCATGTTGGAGCACCTCCCAAGTACAATCTAAAATTCAAATACATCTGGTATACATGAAACTGCTCAATAAACCTCTAAATTACATCATACATGTAGACTGAAACTCATTGACTTTTCTAATGTCTCTATTCAGACTCTAGTTGAAGCAATATGTTTTATGTTAGAGATTCAGTTGTCTTAAAAGAATAGTTCATCCAAAAATGTCAAAAATCTGGGATTTTGTTGTCCTTTTTGGAGATTGGCTTTCCTTACTGTATGCTTTCATTATATGGAAAAGGGCAGCTTGAACATTCTTCAGAACGTCTCCTTTTATGTTCCACAGAGTAAAAAAAGTCATAGATGTTTGGAATGACTTGATTGTGAGTAAACGAAGACCGAGGTCCATTTGTGGGTGAACTATTCCTTTTAAAGTCTAAACTGATATAATGCCAAACACTATGCCAATTTAATTCGTGCTTCTCTCAACCAAATTAAGTTTTATCCAATGGAAAATGTCGAATTACACATAATCATGTATCTAAACAAAACACAATACACAAGGCCTGATGTGCACAATTATTTATCACTGAACAGAGTGAAACCTTTAAACAGGAACTTGAGTCGACATTATTGGTTTCTTCTAACTTGGTTTCAATAAAGCTACAACCACAACATAGAGATTTTCAGGTCGGTTTGGCACACCTTGATGTGTATTTGTCTATTTGTATACTTACAAAGCAGCACAACAGAATATTGGATATTACAATGTACTTGTCAAAAAGGTTATCCTACACTGTTCCATGGACAAGACCAATGCGATGACTTTTGTACACTAGGCTACAAGGAAGACAAATTAAACATTTAAATTACATTTAAAAGCAAATCATTACAATTTTGGTAACACTTTAGTATAGGGAGCAATTCTCACTATTAACTAGTTGCTTATTAGCATGCCTATTATTAACATATTGTCTGTTTATTAGTACTTACAAAGCACATATTCTACATGATCATATTCTACATCCCTAATCCTACCCAATATCTAAACTTAACAACTACCTTACTAACTATTAATGAGGAGTCTATTGAGGCAAAAGCCATAGTTAATGGTTTGTTCATAGCGAAAATTGGACCTTGGGTGACCAAAATTTTAAAAGAAATGAGTCTTAACCACACAGTAATAATGTAAACTGTCAAAACGTAAGTAAAAAATTGTGAAATATTTTATAAGGCCACACTACACTATCACAGGGAACTGCAGAAAGCTACATATGACATTTTGTGTCAATCATCTTTAATCCTACAAACATGAAGTTTCAAATTACAAAATAAACTACTGTACTTCAAAAACTAGACAGTGATCGCATATTACAAACAAGCAATGTGATTTGCTACACATTTTCAAAGCCTTAAAGATTTTAATGAGTAGGCCAGAGGGACATGAAAATGACGTTTATTCACTTGTGTTTGATTTTTGTTCATATTTAGGGAGTTACTTCAAATCACTTAAAGCAGTTGGTTTGGATTACTTGTAGACTACTAATAAAAACTGTAGACACACTTGAATGCCAAAAGCGTGCAAAGCTGTAATATCGGCAATGGGTTGCTATTTGAAATATATAGAAAAATTGATTTGTTAAATATTTTTGATCTCTACATAATTCCATTAATGATATTTCATATTTTAATGACTTCACTGTGAAAAATACTATTAAACGATGAGTAGGTGCGTCCAAACTTTTGACTGGTAGTGTAGCTTATATTTTTCTTTGTGTGCATAAGTGTTATTTTCTAATATAAAATTTGCATTGAGTTCGCACTTAGACATGACATTAAGAAAAAAATAATATCCTTCTGCATACATATTATTGAATTTACAGCTAACATCTCATTTTACATAAATAAGCAGAGGATATTCATCCGACAGTGGAGAAAAGAGCCAGTAGATCTGCATGTACTGTGACGCAAAAACATACTGACGATATTATAAAAGCTGACTTGGCACTGCGTGTTTGTTTGTGTGTGCTCTACAACCCTGTTCTTGAGAGGCTCAACCTGACCGATACAGTGGGCGGACCTGATGTCAGGGTTGAATGAGGCTCAATCGATACCTTCTCATTCCTGTTTACCAACCTAGAGGTTTCACATGAGTTATTCGACATCTGATGCGTCGTTGTCCGATAGATGGTAGTTTGACCCTTTCACCCGGATGTATTCCACCTGCCGATCCTCATCAGAATCCGAGATCCCGCATGAGCAAAGCCGGTTTTCAAACAAGGACTCAATCTCTTCTAGCCGCCGTCCCTTAGTCTCGGGCAGGCAGCCATAAATGAAAAAGAAACCAGTTAGAGCCAAACTGGAATACAGGAAAAATACACCTGGGAAATGACAAAGAGATGTTGGTTAATAAATGAGCATAATTTTAATAATTGCTAAAAAATAACAAAACTATACAAGACTTAAATATATAATTTTTAATGGCCTAGATGATGTCGGCAAAAAAAAGTTGTAAAAGTTGGTTTAAATGCAAAGCAAGTTATTCTTTTTCAGTAATGTGAGCTGTGAACAGCAAATTCAGGAAAGTGTATTTAGAATATTAATTTGCACAGGGAGTTGTTGACTTCCAGAGGAAAGTAATACTGAGTCATAGACATAATTAGTTCTACAATGCCTTTATGCGCAGTACACTCTTGATGTTGAGAGATCAAATACCGTATTGATGCTGACAAAAAGGTCATGTTCATGACTGCTGTCACTCCCCTAATTAGAGCATTACCGTAGTAAGTCAGGTACTGGGCCATGTGAAGGAACGTTAGAGACACCAGCACATTGAAGGTCCAGTTCACTCCGGCCGAACAAGCATTGCCTGTGCTTCTGGCCCAAAGAGGGTAGATTTCAGAATTAACTGTCCATGGCATCGGTCCCATTCCTGTCAAGAGGTGAAAGTGTTTTAAATTACCGCAATGCAATGTCACCATGAGTATATTACAGGTATAATTCCCTTTAGAGCAACCTCTGGTTATGTCTTGCTGAGTGGCACAATGGTGATGGATTGCACTGCTATGGTATTTTTTTATTAATTACAAATAGTTATGATCATCTTACCTGGGGCAAAAAATGCGAGATAGAGCACCAGTCCCAGGAGCACAACCCATGAATAAGATGTTGGGCAAAAATTATAAGCCCATATACCACTATCTGGCATATGTGTGGAGTTGGAGCACCTGTTAGAGTTGAAACAAACACACAATGAATTTAATAAAGGTGAATGACTAACTATCAAAATGTTTACCATATTTCAATTTTTCGAAAATTTTATTATTTTTTTTAAATTCAATTAAAAAGCATCACAGGATCAATTACATCTAATATCATACAGTAATGCCACAATTAAAGGGATAGTTCACCCAAAAATTAAAATTTTGTCATTAGTTATTCACCCTCATGTTGTTCCAAACCTGTAAGACCTTTGTTCATCTTCGGAACACAGATTAAGATATTTTTGATGGAATCTGAGAGCTCTCTGACCCTCCCATAGACAGCAAGGGTCCTTACACGATCAAGGCCCAGAAACATAGCAAGGACATCGGTAAAATAATCCATGTGACATCAGGGGTTCAACCGTAATTTTACAAAGCTACGAGAATACTTTTTGTGCAAAAAGCTACGAGAATACTTTTTGTACAAAAAGCTTTATTGTTGAATAAAGGGAAAAACTTTATTCAACAATTCGTCTCCTCCACGTCACCCTAGTGCCATTTTGGAGAGTATCCACTGAGTGTAAATTGTGTATGCTGTTTTGTGTCAGCTGAGCCACGCGGATATGCTGTTTACGTCATTTATGCTTTGATTTGAACGAAAACAACGTATCCGCGTGCCGCAGCTGACTGTCACGGGTGCACTGCTGAGCGGACTGAGGAGCAAGGAACGGAGAGAGACGAGGAGTACGTCAACCCAAATGGGTTTAATTAATACAAAGGAACACTCACGCAATACATGTAGACATAGACATTCACATTCACATATATTAACATACAATACCGGACCCTGGAGCACACACAGGGAACACTATTTATATACACAGGAGGAGGGGATGACGAGACACACCTGGGAGCAATGAAACATCAAGGGAAACACCTGGGACAAATGAACTTAACTAATCAGGACAGGAACAGGAAACTAACCAAATAAGGGCATAGGAAGGCACATGGGGAGCAAGACACACACAAAACATGGAACAGAGTCTGACATAACGCCCCCCTCTGGAAGGCGTGTCCTCACACCATATAACATCCAATGGGGAGGGGAGGGGGTGGGCACTCTGGAGGTCCCTCAGGACAGACACGGGACAGTGGGCCTCCAGAGCGATACCCGTT